ACTCATTTCTCGCAGTTCTCTAAACAAAAGCTACGGGACATCAACGATCTTAACACGTGTTACTGGTGGAATTTACATAAATAGAAGCAGAGCAAGACACTTGCATAAATCAGGAAGTCACGCCGGAGTACATTTCATCACTAGAATTATTCAAACGACACTTTCGACAGCGTAGTTAAAACATGGTCGTTTAGAGTCTGAAAAGTCAAGATAATAACGAGTTTGATTGAAAGAAATTAAGTCGATAGAGCGGCAGCCAGTCACTCGCAGTTACACGTGACTTGCCTAGTCTCTACTGCTACTCTACTGAGGAGTTGATCTAACATAGTTAGTGTCTCGCTTGCTCAGTTATTAGCGAATTTCCCATAGGGAATAAGCTATTACCGTAGTACTCATGGTAAGACCCGGACGCGGGACCGATTTTTGTTCGTTTTGAGGTCCCTAGAGGCCAAAAACACCACCCGTTCAAATTCATATTTAAATATATGTCCGTTAGCACGATAACTCGAGCAAAAATGATCTGATTTTGATGAAATTTGGTACAAACTAAACCTACGTTTATTCGAACGAGTTCGCGATCCAGCATGATCGGACCATGGGAACGGGGGGTTTTATGGGGTAAAAATAGGTTTTTCCCATTTTTGACCCAAAAAACATAAAATTTAGCAATTTCTTTCCAAACCATTTTGTAGAGCTTAAAAAAACAAATAATTTAGTATATTGACGCGTTATTATGCGTCTAATAGTTACGAAGAAAATTCCAAAATATTTTAAATTTAAAATTCTCAACTGTTGTAGTTTGCTTGTTTATGAACATATTTTGATCAAATTTGGAAAATGTTTTATTTCTTACTAACTATTAACATTTTACAAAAAAAAACAGTTTTACCCTCCCTGATGCAGCAAACCTAAGTACTTGTTAAACTAATTCTATTTAAATCGGGAATAATGTTATATTTTTAAGTAGACATTTCAGTGTAAATCCAATCAGTCAAATGGGTATTCGCTTAGTCTGCAGGTTTGCTGCGGCGGGAGTATTTTTAAGGTTTATTGTATTCCAGCTTGCGGTCCTTTCCGAAGAAATTCTGTTGAAAGATCCAATGTTTTATAAAACCCCCATTAGTGTCATAGTCTCCTTATTGGCTTTACATAACTAAGGGAGTACCGTACTGTATGTTTTAGCATTGACTATAGTATAAACAGACTCTTGTACAGTCAATGGTTTTATGGATGGCACACCTGTAGGCTTGTGCTGGAAGTAAATTTTAGATTTGAGAATACTGTAGTAAGGGACCGCTGGAGGAAACTGAGTGTGTTAAACCTATGACACCACCGATGAATTCAAAAATTTAGTCTTGCAAAAGGATGAAATATGTCAAAAACCCAATTGAATCTTCTATTTAAAGAAATATTGGCTTTTCTTTTCCAAGTAGAGTTGGCTCTTCTACCAGACCGATTTTCATAATTTTTGTCTTAAATTAAAGTTATGCACACATAGATTTGCCATCAAGTATTGGCATACATTTATCTGCCGTATATTTACAGTTATGCACAAAAGCAACTGGTACTTACGTATTAAACGGAGGCCACATTTTGTCAGCGCGCAGCGGCGGTTATGTTAGGTTGGGTTATCATAATAGAAAGTATAACTCGTCTGGTATCGTTCGATTCATAACGAAGCGAGGAAAGTCCTACACACATAATATTTACGATAACCCAACCTAACATAACCGCCGCAGCGCGCTGACAAAATGTGGCCTCCGTTTAATACGTAAGTACCAAGCAACTTCATCCATATACATTATCATGGGAGTTAAATTTGGTTTTTCTTTTCCAAGTTCGTTTTGCTCTTCTACCCGACCAATTTTCATAATCTTGGTCTTAAACTAAAGGTAAAGATTTTTAATTTGATGTGATGTGCACATGTAATACCCTTCCTAGATAAATAATACTATAGAATTCCATAGTAATGATTATCTATCTATATATTAATAGGCAAGCATGTTTCTTTAAAACCTTTTTTCTAAGCTCGTGTGCATAGCAAGGAAAGTCTATGCATACTGTTAAAAAGATATTTACCTGTAGATGTACAGAATCCCTTTAAATACATTAAAATAGGCTCAAAAATAAGCACAAAAAACGAATTTGAAATTTTAAAAAGTTAACATGGGTCTTATAGGTTGCTATGTTGGTGACGAAATAACAAAATATAAACAGAAAATCAAAACAAATGTAAGAAATTACAATCACACGTTTTATTTACAGTGTGGGGTGAAAATAGAGAAGCCTGTACATTGGATATTTTTTGGTCGAGTATCGACCACTGGACGACCACTAGTATAAAATTATTGAGACAAGAGGACCCTGTGCTGCTCCTTAGCATTGAAATCTGTTTTTTGACTAAGTAATATTTACCGAACTTATTCAAAGGATCAATATTTCAAATGAAAGCCTTTATTTCTTTTCTAGGAGTATTTTAAGACCAAGACATAGGAAAATAACTAAAATAAAAATGGAGTTATGTATCATTGATTGCAGAAGTCCTGAAATAATTATAATTATTGGTGATTCGTGATTCAGCAGCAAGCTTCAGGTATGTGCGATTTTAATAATCTACAGCTCAAACGAAAGCAGGTATTTCACTTAAGTTTCTTAGACCAAAACATATAGGATAATGTAATTAGAACTGGATAGAACTGGCGAAATACATATTTAATTGAAGTAGGCCTAAATATTTTGTATTTTGGTACATTTAAATTAATGATGATGCATGATTAATGAAATGCATGTATTTTCACTAAGGCCAGAGCAAATGCTATAATATTGTATTATAAAATATTTTTTCCATCTTGTTTTGTAGTAAGAATGTAAAAATGGAGTTTGTCCGTTGGTATGCAAAATAAAATGGCAAACCTGTGTGTGCATGTACGCCTATTAGCAGAATACAATACCACAAAACTCAACTCAAACGCACAACTGAGTAAAAAATTGGAGCTTACTCAAAATTGCAATTTTAAGAAATATAATTTGGTATCTTTGAACAGCTGTAATTTTTGACTAGCCTAAATAGTCTGTTTAATTTCAGGTTTTTGTGTATTGTATTCCGCCAAAAAACAGTTTTTACTTAAATGATTTTCTTTTAACTTCTAGCGGGCGTCCCAAGATTACAAATTGAACAAATCTTTAAACAGCTGACATTATTTGCTCGGTTGTTCATTGAGTCTGGGTTTGCAGCAAGTTGTGTTTTACTAACAATGACCTTCAATTAGGTGCATATCAATCTATGCTACTTGCGTTAATAATTATAAATGTCTTCTGACTCCAAGCAAGCCGTCCCCTTGAGGAGGTGGTGTATTCACTGAATAATGTTTTAAAATGTATTTTATGTCCAGTGACTTTTTCTAAGAATTCTAGCTTCATTTATTTATTTATTTTAGGCAGAGGATACACGTCCAGCAGTTATTGTCATTTCTAACCTAACCAACCAAACCTGCTGATAATGAGAAAATCGAATGAAGGTTAAATTTTGCTCGTAAAATAAAGTTATACAGTAAATGCCTCAAATTCTAACAGAAGAAATGGCATTTTAAGCAAAATCTTTGACAAAAAGTTAAGTGTCACCGATGAAATTCGATCTAAATTCCTCTTGTACACTACTGTAGCCGAGTACTCTCTCCACTACACCATGAACATAACGTATCGTTGTGGTAATGGTGTTCCGGGCCCCCACAACCCAGTGACGTCACTGCCGGACGCCTAATGTATGTTCAGTTGAAACCAGACGCGTGCAGTACCCTCTGCACTGCACTTTAAAAAAAATACAGTATTTAGCTTTCCCACGACTTTTAAATTGTTAAAAAGTTCAAAAGTGTCCATTTTTAACCTATTGAAACTCTGTAACCACCAGTATTCACTTAAACAAGACCATGAAGAGAAACTATTAACTTTACCGTACCTTTTTGGGTTTTGAAATTCAACACAGATAATTTTTGTATTAACTTAAATTAGCGTATTTTGCGCTTAACAACATGGTTTAAGTTACAAAATGTTTAATAACCCGAAGTAACTTAACTTAAATCAATATTTATAACTATTGGCTAATTACCTGTGACCAATTATAAAATATAACTGTTAGCCTATAAGTAGAATTATTGTTGAAAAATGTTTGGTTTTAGAGTATAGGCTAATATTAACAAACGTTAAAAATAAATACTTAACCTAACCTAACAAAACTTGCTGATTATAAAAAAAATCAAATGAAGATTAACTTAATCAAATTGATATTAGGGTCGCCCAGTTAAGAAACTGTAGGCTACCCAGATCTAAGTTAGGGGTAGGCTACAGTTTCTTAAACTGGGCAATGCTTATATTGATTGAAACTATCGATTCGATTAGTAAACCTTTATGCGATTTTTTCACCATCAGCAAATTTTGTTGGTTAGGTTAGGTTATGATAGTTTTATTTTATAATAGATATATTTAAAAATATAGATTATTAATCAATATTTTCAATTCGATAGTTTCAATCAATATTAGCATAGCCCAGTTGAGAAACTGTACCCTAAGTTAGGCCTAGCTCCAATGCATAAATTAGGCCTAAAACAGAGTTATACCAAGCCCAAACCTTTACAAGCATTTGTTTACAAAGGAATCTAGGCTATGTTTTGGTCATTTTTAAATATGCACAAACTAGGTCTAATAAAGAACACCCCTAACCCAAGGACAAACTATTCCCTGTGGGATTGATTTATTTTGTTAGGTTAAGTTGACCAGATTTGAACACAATGTTCAAAATTACTTATAAAATAGGCCAATTAATAGGCCTAGGCTACTGATATTAAAGTCCAAACCGAAAAAATTGCCAGACATGCTTCAGTGACCTGGTTTACCCTCTTCCATGAAGGATCGTCAATTATACAAAATAGTTATATAACAAAGTATAATATATTGCCTAAAGTAAATAAAAGTTGGCCTTAGGTTAAAAACAAACAAAATCTTACCGGCTGTTCTTTGGGGCTTCCCAATACCCGTCGTCTTTATTCTCTTCTGAGCTTGAGAATACTTTAACAACATATTGGAGTCTAAAGTTCACTTTAACTGTTTTTAAATTAAACTTAAAACTACTACCACTGTATTGTCCCGATAGCACATCTAATACTTTAACGAACCACTGGCATAACAAATGCTCAGCCATTACCTCAATAAACTAAAAGATTAAAAGCCTACTGCTAGAAAAGCAAAAGACAAACCCCCACTTTTTATCAGCTGAGTGAGTGAGTAGTGGGTCAGTGTAAACACCTAAGCAGCGTTCCCATTGGTTGCTACCAAATACGTCATTTAAAGTTATCCCGTGAAGCCCACAGGTGTCGCTAACAGTACGGGATATACTGTTTTTTTTTTATTTGGGAGATGTAGATTACAATAATTAATGGTTTTGAGAACCAACAAATCATCATAAAAAGCTCAGAAACCAGATATAATACCGTACATCCTAATTATAGAATAAACTCAATCCCAAGTTAAACATAAAGTTATTGTTATACATTTGCAAGTTACATTAAGGATGGGCTTAGACAACATGCTATGCAGCTTTAAATATTTTAATCAGAAGATTTATTCAATGGTGTACAGCCAATTATATGTATATATTTATAACTCAATAACGAATTTATTTAAACACACTTATTCACGGCCGCCTTCAACTTCTACATATCCAAGTCAAAATCTTGAGATCAACAAAGCATTCTTATAGCTAAAATACCCCCGCCGCAGCAAACCTGCATACTAAGCGAATTTCCATTTGACTGATTGGATTTACACTGAAATGTCTACTTAAAAATATAACATGTATTCTTGATTTAAATAAAATTAGTTTAACAAGTACTTAGGTTTGCTGCATCAGGAAGGATAAAACTGTTTTTTTTTTTTTTTCTTTTGTAAAATGTGAATATAGTTAGTAAGAAATAAAAACATTTTCCAAATTTGATCAAAATATGTTCACAAACAAGCAAACTACAACAGTTTACTTTTTCTCCATAAGAATAACATGGGAATTTTAAATTTACAATTTTTTGGAATTTTCTCCGTAACTATTAGGCGCATAAAAACGCTTCAATATACCAAATTATTTGTTTTTTTAAGCTCTACAAAATGGTTTGGAAAGAAATTGCAAAATTTTATGTTTATTGGGTCTAAAATGGGAAAACCCTATTTTTACCCCATAAAACCCCCCGTAAACCCCAGTTCCCATGGTCCGATCATGCTGGATCGCGAACTCGTTCGAATAAACGTACGTTTACACGTTTGTACCAAATTTCATCAAAATCGGATCATTTTTGCTTGAGTTATCGTGCTGACAGACATATATATATATACATATATATATATATATATATATATATATATATATAAGTTATATGTATATATATATATATATGAATTTGAACGGATGGTGTTTTTGGCCTCTAGGGACCTCAAAACGAAAAAAAAATCGGTCCTGCGTCCAGGTCTTACCATGAGTACTACACGGTAGAGGTCGTGCGGAACGAGGTGAAGCCTGAGATTTTCGGCGGGAACGGTCTAAAGCGGGGAAATCCATGGTGGGGGTAGGAGACGAGCCGATTGTCGCCTCGCATAGCGACACTTCCCCCGCCACACCACTATTCCCCTCCAAGCTTCACCTCGTTCCGTACGACCTCTAATAGCTTATTCCCTATATGGGAAATTCGCTAAAAAGCTCTCGTATGAAGACGGAAAAGGAAGTACGATATTACAACTCTATATAGTATGTATGAATAAAGTATCTTTTTTTAATTTTCATGAGATATCGCCAAAGAAACATTTCTGAACAAATATTTCAATAAACGAAATCAGTGTGGGGTGGGGTTGGAATAATAATTTCTCACTCAAAAAAAAAAACTGGAATTTTACTTGAGCCAGTGGTTTTAGCATTTCAGTTTCAGTACCGTTTAAGGGAAATGTTCTTTGCTTTAGGCCTACCTAACTAATTGTAATCAAAAAGCTGAAAGGGCACGGTCTTTCCATAAGCGTGTATTCTCTCTACTTTACTTCTCTGTAGCCCGGGAAAGTTACGTTTCTACATAGTGTTTAAAAGGATTTTAGCCATGTTGTATTTTTTTGTGACAGCTTAACAACCCTTGAGTTGCGATCTTCCTTCATTACTACTTGGGCGTTTCCAGTGTTCCCGACGACGCGGAACACCACGGAACACACGTTTTGATAAAGCGCGACAAGTGTTTCCAGGCTTGTCCGAAGAGTGGGAGCTGGTTTTTTAAGTGGGTGATTGAGTTGGACACGACGGACACTACAATATATCCACCTGTGTGCATAACTACATTTTCCTGCCTCTCCCTAAAAAAATCAAAAATGTCTTGAGAACACAATGAACACAGATAGTTTGTGACACCAGTCATATAGGAGATTCTTTATGTTTCCGTTTTATCGGCTGAATTTTTTTTAGTGTTTCGCTTTAAAACCCTTGGCACTCATTACAGTACACTCAATTTAATTTTATCCGTTCTGGCTATGTCTATGACTACTAAGCAACGGTATTTATTATTTCTACATCAGCTGTCTTTGCCAATGCCAGACTCCTATTCTATCTATCAGTTTGCCAGTCACCACAACATCTTCATTTCTTCAACTGAGAACTATTCTGGTTTTAACACTGCTCGCTAAGAATCGCCATCAAGCAGATATCAAAACAAACAACATTTTTGAATAAAGATAATATATGGTTCATCGCCAGAGATAAAGGTTTGAGGGAAAGGTTCGTCCAGAACACTAGGCCATATCAACGGTGGCAAGGGTCGACAAGCGAAAGACTGGGTATCTTACACTTCTGTTTATCCAGTGTTCTCGTAGGTTTCTATGTGCAATTGTATATGCATAGTCTGATCCTGGGTCCGTAGTCCTTCTACCAGGCAGTGTCTCCGGGCTCTGGTTCAGGTTTTGACAGGACGTTGGATCAGTCCTTTGCTTACGTCCTTACTGGCCCGGTGGTCTACGACAACCCTACAAGATATCCGTGTAGGTCCGCGATCTAGGCCTAGATCCTTGGCACCTTCACCCCGGAATCCTCAGCCCCTAGCTGCTGCTCTCCAATGGAGTAGGTTCTGGGGTCACTTGCTCAGAAGTTAGCACTTTCTAGGCAGTCTACTCTGGGTCTGTGTGTCTCTGTGTACTGTGTCTGCAGTCTGACGCAAACTCCGGCAATACTCATCGTATACCTATATATACGCTTTTAAGGTGGTGGGGGACTACAAAGTCCTCCCCTCCACCTATACTCCAGGTGACTACGAACCTGTGGGCTCAACACGCTCATGCGTGGGTCGGCCCAACTCACTTCCTGGTGCCATACACCCTGGTTTTATACCCGCCGAATGGTACCCAAGTAGTGGGGGTACTATACCTTACCTCCCCTATCCCTATCGGAGCATATTTCCTCTCCTTTGGAATCATTCTTGTGTCTCAGAGTACTTTTGTAGCTTTAACCTCAAAATTATCTTGAGGGTCAAAAACATTTCTTTACAGGAGTCTCAATTACTCCATTGTTTTCATACTGGACATCTGAGCTGTAAGCACATTTTTTTATTGCTGAATCGTCAATTGTTGATAAAATTAAATTAAGCATTACTTTTCTTATGGCATAAAGGAAAATTATTTTTCATCAAGTTGTGTTGATGCCTCAATAACAGGTACGGCTCCAGGAAGAGTTTTTTGGGTAGGACTGACTATACTGATTACTGACAAGTATCAAGAAAGAGTTTGTTCGGGGGACAAGAGGTTTGAAGGGCTTTCCCTGGAAAAGGAGGAATTTTAAAATTTAAATGCAAAATAATTAGTTTGAATGCTTTCCCTTTTTTACATTTACACATGATTTTTTACATTTACTTATGATTAAATTTCTTTATAATTTTGAAATATCCACCAAAATGTTGGGTAAATCCTACCTGGCCTGCCCCCTGGAGCCGCAACTGCAATAAACTGATAAATATTCTAAAAGTATTTTAAAAGATAAAGTTATGAACTGGATGGAAATCTGACAAGATGCACATAACTTACAGTATATATTTGTTACAAATCTCGCTTCATATGCACCGTTTTTGACAAAAGCTTATACTTAAGGGAAAAAGCAGGTTACAATACACCAAACAAAATTTAATACATAATTTATTTATATTATATTAAGTTTTATTAAACTATACCTTTAAAATAACATTATACAAAATCACAATCGCTTTTATAATAAAACAATGATCAATTTCATAATGGTTGCTGTACAATTCTACAAACAGTGAACAAAAGCAAAGCTCAGACCTATCCCGTCTAACATGTCAATTCAAAATGCACCGATGATAACATAAATATACAGGAAAAATTTATGTTTGGAGAAATAAGGTAACAATATTTTTTTACTGATCCAGAATAATACAAAACATTTTTGGTTCTACATTGAAATGTTGATATGAAATGCTAGGCTGTACATGAGTGCTGCTGTAGTAATATTTACACTTGGTTTAGGATTCATAATGGTTGGCTGTTGGGTGGTGGGGGGAATGGACCACCGGGTGGGGGACCCATGACGGGGCCACTACCTGGAAACGGGGCTCCATAGCTATAACAAACAAAGTGCTCACATTGTAAATTTGAATTTTTTAGCACTTACACTAATAAAATTATGTTTTTATTTTCCCTACTAAACACACCAAGAAACCATAAGAAAAATTATAAAATAATACAAATTAATAAACTTATTAACTTGAAAAGGATATCTACAAATTTAGTCCCTGAGATGCCATTAATGTGTATATCCCTTAGACACAAACTCTTGACGTGATACTACTGTAATTGATCACAGCAAACATGTCTTGAGTGAAACTATTTTAATACTTATATGACTATATTACAACTTGCACACAAAGCATTTTGTGCCCCTGTACGCTTATTAAAACATTTGTAGCGTTTTTAAGGAAAGCCAAATGGCTAGTTAAGCTAAACTGTTTTGAAACGGGATGTTTTGGATATAGGCATCTTCAGAGAGTAGATTACAGAGAAATGAAGTAAAAATCCAAAACTGGAGAAGTCTTTAGTGTTGCTAACTGTGGCCTTCACAATAACGTTCTAGATACTGATTTTATAATACAATAGATATATAACATTGTAAGTTTACTCTGTATCAACTTACGCTTCTACTGAACATTTTCCAGGTTCTGGCTGATTGACAAGGTTTGGGGAGATTATCTAAAATCGAGGTTAGGAATCCGTAACGTACTAGTAGGCTAATTCTTACCTTCTCAGTAGGGAACAGTTTCACTACACTATTTTTTAGGGATGGACTTTATGGTGAAGCCGTGGTGGTGAAACAAAATTCAAAATCTTAGTTAATATTTCTCAGCTTGCACTCAATGTTAACTTTTGTGATCTTTTATTAGTTTATCTATTAGCCTTTGCGCCCTATTTTTCTCATGTAAGCTAGTTAAACTATATCCTTTTTAAAATAATTCCTTATTCAACATTTATAAGCTTTTCAATAGTCTGAAGTGCAATATCCCTCATGTAATCAATCCAACCTACCAATTTGGATACGGCATTGACTGTGGGGGCAGAGATGGAGGTCCTTGTAATTCCTCCGGACGAGATCCTGGGGGGCCTTGTAAAGAGTAAGGCCCCGAAAGCGGGGGACCTGGGGGCCCCATCGGGGGCATGTGGTGTAGGGGCCCCATGACATACTCGGGTCCAGGGGGCATCGAATAGACTGGCCCTGGAGGACCACTCATACGACCGTACATCTGTTGTGTCAACATAGGTTAGTTAGTGAGGTTTGGATGACGCATTCTGAACATTTTACCACAGCATAAAATTATTCTTAATTTAGTCACGGACCCAAGGGTTAGGCCTGTGTTCTGAGCCCAAGCTACTGTTCACTCTGATTGGTTACTGCTTTTCACTTAAAAACAAAACTCTAAAAGCTGATTGGTTGAACGGTTTAATAAAAAAACTGAAACCAGATTGGTTCAGACTGCTTATATTTAGCCTACAGGAATTCCACCATGGGTAGTTAAACTTAGTTAAAGTTAAGAGGTTACATAATGCAATTTTATCTAATAGCATGAGATATATTCTAATATTGTAACATAAACAAATAATCATACACTTTGGTTATTGAGTTGAGAGAATAATTTTGTTCTGACTTAAACTAACTACATTCAACTACCCGTATCATCAACAATTAAAGCCCTCCAAAAAAGATTTGGACAAATTAATCCATTAAAAAAACTAAACAGACAAATTTTAGCATGAAGCAGGAACAGATACCAGAATTTTTCAAAATCTCAGTAGAAAAATTCAAAGCTGCTGGGTCTGACAATTGTTGCAGACCTCCCTTCAAATGACTTCACTTGAAACTGACCAAGAAGCTTTTATCCAGGGTTCATGTGGTAAAATAATAAAGGAATGAAGTGGATAGGGCACCAGGGAGTGGCAAGATAGAATACTACACTATGATTGAGTCACATATAAGAAATGAATTGATCGGATGGAAAGGAACATCTGAGACAAACCTTGATAAATTCCTGGTTATAAAAAAAATCTATTAAGGGCACTCTTCAACCTTGACCCTACTGACAGCTGCAGGGAAGCTTTTAAATCACTAAACATTTTGACAGTAATAGCCCTCTACATCAATGCAGTTGTTATAACTTGGACTGCCCCAGAAATCAAAAATTTTATTTCTACCTACACCAGAAGAGCTACCGACTACAATCTTTCGGTCTACTATACAATTTGGGAAAAAAAACGTCCTACGTTGGACAAAAAATCATATGTATACAAAATACATAAAGATTTACACACTGACAAAAAACCTGAAGCAACAACTTCGGACCTAGCTCGTAGTACAACACGTTTACTAGATGAAAGAGTTGTTTGACCCATAATAATAAATTTTACTCCTGAAAAGAACTACCAATATTTTTTGTGACACTATCGTATTTCTTTAGAAATCGCAAATAAAGAGAATTATCAATCTAATGCTAATGTCTGACTCACCGGGTGTTGAGGGAATGGTTGGACAGGTTTGGGAGTGAACTGCGACTGTGGCTCCCTCATCAACATGTGGTACAGATTGAGGGCCTCCACCAGTCCGGAACTGACTTGTGTGAGTTGCGCATGCTTACGGTCCACTCGCTCCAACTCAGAGTCTATCAGGGGACCCATAGCGTTCACTTGCTCTGCGGAACAAAAGAAAATTTACTTGACCTGTAGTGATATAAAATATGCTATAGCTTACAATTAGAATTTTTGTGAGGTTAGCAGACTGGTTAACAGACATGGGAAAGAGTCCAAACTGGCACAATAGACACAACACTTTACACTATATAGTGGGCCTATATACACAAAACATTAGAATAACACTGTCACTGACAGAATTTTCAACTAAGGAGAGAGAATTTTTACCAAATTCTCTTTCTCCATTAAACTCTCATAATCTTTCTCTTCCTCAGTTGAAAATGCTGCCAGTGACAGTGAAATATTCAATTGTTTTGTGTATAGAGAGCAAAGTGTTGTGTCTATTGTGCCAGTTGTGACTCTTTCCCATGCCTGTTATCCTCACAACCTGGGCCCTTGTGCTCTATGTAACATCCTTAAACCATAGCTTACAATAAGTTGTCTTTTTGAAGTACTTTACAGTAATTAGCACTTGACATGAGCGAGCACTCTTTGTCAGTGGCCCAGTTTATATTTATTTATCATAAAACTTGCCACAGCTTAAACGTGGAACCCATCTAGAACCAAACTCTGCCTGTGCGTCTACTGGGCTGCTATAGTATTGAGTAATGACCTAAATTTGTTTACCATTCCATCCTCTAATAGAAGATCGATTTGTTTACGAAGGTTTATTTATTATTTTTTCCCAGTTTTTATTCGTATTTCAGCCTTTTACGCATGCTCCTGGTACGACGATAAGTGTGGATTCTGTCTTACACAAGGCCTTGGTGGTCAAAGTGGGTTGTTATTTACTTTGCTTTTAAAAAAACAATTCTCTTAGTCCATAATATTAATAAACTTTGATTTCACTAACCTTCTAACTGAAGCAACTCTTCTGGATCGTTTTCCAAATCAGTCGGATCAGCTTCATGCAGCATATGTAGCAGCCTACAACAGAAACAAGTACAATACAAGGGATGTACGGTGGTAAAAGCACAACCTTACAGTAAAAAAACAACATTTTGTTTCACCTCAGAGTAGTATCTGAACTAAAAGTCAATGATGACCCTGCTACTTTAAACAAAATTCTATTTAAAAGGAGGGAACAAAGTAGTTCTTGCAAAAATTAATTCAACTACTTTTTGAAAACATAGTTAATATTTACCTTTAAATTAACATGCTAAAAAAATTAAATTTCAGGTTTGGAGTGTGTACAAAAACATTTAAAAATTGCTTCCAAAAACATTTTGTAATTCATTCAAGGGTGTAGCGGCATCGCTAAATTGTTTAAATGACAATGATCAGAATATTGTAATGAACCTATAGTTGCAACTCACTTGTCAATTTTATCCTCTTCAATCTCAACCTGTTCAACGGGTTTGAGGGTTTTCACCTGGACGACCTCACTGAACTGAACACCTTTCTTGGGTTCCTCTGTAAAGATATAAATAATACTATCCAGTGTAAACTCACCAACATATTACACTTTACAATTATGAAAGTTAACTAACATCAAGGGAAATGTCAGATCCAGAAAAGTATATTATGTTGTGAACAAAGCAATTCTCGATGCTGGAAATTTAGTTCTCAATAAAAAAACCCCACCCCTTACTAGCTAATACAACCAAAGAAAAAATATCTAAAATTCTTTTGATTTACTTGTAAAAGCCTATAGAGAGACTCACCTACAATAAATGATAGGCAGCTTGGGTGGAAGTTGACAGGAAGGTTGTAATACCAAGGCAAACATGTGGTTCCGACTCCACTATAAACTGTAGGTCCCTTAGTTGCCATTAGCTGTATGGTCTATTAATTAACAGCTGTGTCTAAGGAATATGTCGGCCTTGGTCACTAACAATACTACAAGATCGTGCCACTCATCCTACACTCATATTTGGGTTAAAATACGCACACAGTGGCGTCCCTATCCTCAATAATTTATATAGGCCTATTCTTTGAGAAACATAAAATTAATCATTTCACTACTTTGTACTTATCCTTGCTATGTGTTTGGCCATTAACATTTTGTTACAAAATAGTTCTAATGTTTGTGTTGAAAATGAAAAAATATGCACTATTCAATCACTGACTAGTCTATGTAGTCCAAGGATTTCAAAAGTGCTTTGCTTATAAAAAAACACATGAACCACATAAACAGAACTAGCTTACTGAATTTTTCAGGCTCCACAGTCAGATCCGAAGTTACAAAGTTAGCAGGAAACAGTCCTTCCCCTCTCTGATTGTAGCCCTTCCACCAATTGGGGTCGGAGTCATCGAGTAGATGGACTGTAAAACAACAAATTATGATGCAAATATTTGAGAAATAGAACAAAATTATTACTGAAATCTTAATATGCAAGGAAGGTTATTGATGGATTGTGAGAACCTAATGCTGTAAATGAGTTTAAAATGGAATTTCTGTTTGAGGATTGTTATCATTTATTTACTATTTGATCAGTTATCCATCCATGTTATATTACAGGATATTATACAAAAGCAGTAATAAAGAATAATCTATAATATTTAAAGAAAAAATTTTATCTGTGTTTGCTCTAAGAGTGTATGAATAGACACTACTAAACTGACAAGGTTAACATTTAACGTCTATGAACTTTGCCTACATTTAGGCCTAATCATGACAAAACTATAAATTTTATCAACTGGATTCCTGCATGCCATAATAGACTTCCTTACCTCCCTCTAAAGTCTAAATTTTTGTCAAACAAAATGGTACTGACTAGTTTTGTTGCAAGCCCAAAATTGTCCAAGCTTGCGAACTTCAACAAATTAAAATAAATAATTACATTAAATACAAACGAAATTAGCATTATCATGACCAAACAATCTCGATGGCAGCAGTAGACTGTTGGTCTCACTACATTGTCACTAACAGTCAACATCAGATATAACTTACTGATTTCGCCGGCAAGGAATGTGAGTTCGTTGTCTTCAACAGCTTCAAAATCGTAAAGCGCCCGGACTTTACGTGGCTCGGCAGTTGTGGTAGACCCAAGGGTAGTTGACGGGTAAAGACTTCCCCCACCACCACTACTGCTACCCCCTCCTGATGCACTGCTTCCTTGGTATTTAGGTGACTGGCTCTCCTTCAAGCTGAGTTCTATCGCTAAAATCAGACAGATTTCTATTGTGAAAGTTACGTAGAAAAAGACAAACAATTAGGGGTCTGCGGTGCACCGAAAAAGTCGATAAGGTATGGTTCTGGCCTAATTACCGCCATCAGTTCGGTACGGTACAGCATTTTGCTCAGTAAAATTGCGATCAGTAGAGCATATAATAATTAATTAGTTTCAATTCACTATCAATGTCAAAAAGTAGTTTTTCTCAAGTCAAGCAGTAAAACTAAAGAGACAAGCTAGATTGCAGATTGATTTACTTAGTTGTCAAAGGACGTGAGCAGACTGCAAGCAGGCGAAGAGTTGTTTTAATAGGTTATATAAGGAATATTATAATATGAATACATTTACAGAATTATAATTAATTGTGTATGTTGTTTTCCTTGTTCCTTTCTTGTTAGTTATTTAATCTTATATGTAAATTAAAATATCAAACAAAAAATGACAACTGATAAATACAATAAGAAACAAGAAGACATGATCAATTTGCAGGTTTCACAATACACAATACAAAAATATCTTTCATTCAACTTCAGAATCATAAAATTTCTTAAGTGCTTGACTAAGAAACTTTGGGCATAAACCCTTCATAGTTTAATAAAAGATTAAGTTACTTTGACGTATAAAGAAAATATCAATCTAATAGAGATGCAACTGAATGTTTTACTATGTTAATGTCCAACTCTGTTGTATGTTGAGGCTTATGTAGCTTAGTGTTATAATGCTCTTTTGTCATTGTGTTGTATTGAATAAATAAATTGAATTACTCCTTACTCCCCACTGTGAGGGTGAAAAAAAACACCCTTTCTTATATAATTAGGCCAGTCAATAACAGCATTCAACATCGCAAACGCGCATGTATCTACGATTTTTTTATATGTTGTTAGGTCCCCTAAGAGTAGTTTATACCCAAGTTTGCAACCCTGAAAACCCTGTGCTACTCCCATAATACTTGAAAACTTTAAAATTATGGCTATTTTTTTGTTTTATTGAAAAAAAAAAACTAACTGAAGGAAGCGTTTATCAGGTATATGTGTCCTATACTTTTTTAAAGTTAACTAAATTTGCAACAATTGGAACCCAGTTTGAGCCCATTAAGTCAATTTCTTGCGAATATACAGTTAGTAAAAAATAGGAAATTTTTTTTTTCAAACATTGAAAGATTATCAGTAGGCTTATTTGCCAAGATGCATGCAGGCTGAAGTAATGATCATAGAGAAAAGTCTTTAGGAAGGATTTTGTAGAGAATTTAATAAGCTTTAATCCAATTCCAAAGTTGTGTGTCTAGGCCTTACAGTTCCACAAACAAATTTAATATATAAAAATATCATATTTTGCGTTAATGTTGTATTTGGGATTGCATGTCTTAAAAAGATTCGGACTCTACCTTCAAGACATGTTTGGCCTAAAAAACACATGAAGTCAGACGAGTATGGCACGTTCACAAGGAGGTCCTCTCAAAACGTCGCTCTGATAAGTTCTGGTCTGGTTTGTGGACAGATTCGACCATGGAACACGTACTGATGAGGTCCATGAAAAGCCAGGGTGGGCTAACTCATGGTCGAGGAATATCAAGCAGTGTGTTGGTGCGCTGGTCAGTAGGGTTGGTTTCCATGCTCAACATTTGCGAGGGGGTGGAACGTTTCACTGAAACTACGGCTCTAATATCAGAACAGCACGTTGATATGAGGGTATCCCAAATTGCGAGAGATACTGCAGATACCAAAAAAATAAAGATCTGGTTCAACACCCACCCTCCATTCCCAGTCAGCGATCGCCTATTTCCTATCCACAGTGGTATCGTCGGAGGCTCTGATATCAACTGCCACTTATGTTAAGAACTGGGAGCAGGAGGAGTGAAACAAATTGTTGGTAACAACTTTGGTAAAGTGACTTTTAAGCGAAAGGACAAAGTGAAGACCTTGACGTTCGTCTGTAAAAGTATTCAACAAGAGAGTTGATGTTGATCTCCTTATATATTCCAGAGGGTCTGCGTCACAAAACAATCAGACGTACAATTGAAGCAGCATTTTGCGTATGAGCTAGCACCGTATCCATTGTCTTTATTCACTTAAGAAGGAATGGGCAAGGGCACAAAAATCTTCCTTCTATTCAGCATTTACACCGCTCACTGAAAACATCATCCCAGGAAACGAAGCGTTCATAGTGATTAATGGTGGTTACATCTTGCACAATGTTATCTGGCATCGATATGATTCAGTCAGATACATTGTGGTGGGATATGTCAGCTATGTTTTACTTAAAACCACTTAGGTAAAAACGTTGCTGTGGTAATTGATGGATACCCCCAAGATGCAGCATGCAGCTATGAAGAGCACTAAACCAGATGAACGCCTGTGACGCTCTACTTCTCTCTCATGCAGTGACATTTTGTTTGGTGAATTAATACCCATCAAAGTGTCCCAAGCAAAAATGCTCTCAAATGAATCTAACAAACACCGACTGATATGTTGTGTACTGAATTTGAGATGCGTTGTATTAAATACATCAATCTCAAGAGTACCCCGATTCTGATATAGTGAGGACTGCCCTCTCCAAGAGTTCATCGTTCGATCCCATTGGGGAGGATGTCGACCTACTGGTGCTCCTCAGCGGATTAAGCTCTGGAGTCTGGACAGACGAACGTGTACTTCCAGAAAGGCGGGAGAGGTGGATCAGAGTGTGCCCAATATCCAGCAAATTCAGTATACTTCTTAGTAATTGTTTGTTTTTTTTTAAGACATGTGTTACATCTATTATCTATAAAATTTCAATTTCACATTCTTGCACTCTTTAATGAAATAAATAATAACAGTAGTCAGTACCTACATTGATGACATCATTAACGCCTTTTTTAAGAAGCTATAAGGCCTAGACACACCACTTTGGAATTAAATAAAAGCTTATTAAATTCTCTACAAAATCTTGCCTAAAGACTTTCTCTATGGCCATTACTTCAACCGATACACATCTTGGCACATGAGCCTACCGATAATCTTTCAATGTTTGAAAAAAGATTCCTATTGTTTACTAACTGTATATCCGCAAGAAATGGACTAAAAGGGCTCAAACTGGGTTCCAATTGTTGCAAATTTAGTTAACTTTAAAAAAGTATCGGGCACATATACCTGATAAACGCTTCCTTCAGTTAATTTTTTCAATAAAACAAAAAAATGAGCCAGAAATTTACAGTTTTTTGAGTATCATTTGAGTAGCACAGGGTTTTCAGGGTTGCAAACTTGGGTATAAACTCCTCTTAGGGGACCTAACAACATATACAAAAATCGTAGATACATGCGCGTTTGCGATGTTTGCCTTTTTTCGTGTATATATTGACTGGCCTAAATAAGCTTACACAAATTTTAAAATTCTATTTTCTATTCTATTTGTCGCATATAGCCTACTTATGAAAATACATAGGCCAAAAAGTTCATCAAATGTTTTCATTGAACATATTACACAATAGCCTAGGCCTATAAATTATGGGTAAACATGCCAAGCCAACACAGAAAATGATTAAAACTGGTAAACTGTGAAACATATCTACCTTTGGCTATGTCATCGACTTCTTGTTGACTAGACACTGCATTTGGATCCTTCGGAAGTGAACTGCGGGCAGCCTGTGCACAAGAGTGGGATTCAACATGAGAATTACAGATTATGGACACAAAAAGTGGTTGAAATAAGCTGTGCTGTCTATGGTTGTTTTACTAATTAATTGTAAAAAATACATTTTTAGGCTACAACAAATCTATTAAACAAATAATATAACCAAATATTTTCATGAGCTATCAAATTAAGGGAAAAATTATTAATAACAAAAATAATAGTTTCATAAATGAACTTTTTGGGAGGGATGGCGTCTTGAGAGACCTCATGGGCTGGCCGTCCTATTTCCAAATAGGCCTATCTATTTCAAAAATGTTAATTAACTTACAAAAAGGTAACATTTTAAACTGAGGATGGGAGGAAAACGATTGGAACAGTAGTAATTCTGATCTAGAACATACGGTATCTGTTTTTCAAATAAAGTTATTGACATCACAAAACTTAGTTTTATAGCATGTTCTCTCGTTCTCTGAAGAATAGGACTTGCTGGCTAGTTTTATTTGGATATATAGGATTCAAATCTTTTTAATCAAGTATAGGTCATTAACACCACAATATTGTTAGGTACAATTTTGCCCATTAAAGTTAGCCCAAATGGCTATTGTCAAAATAATGATTTGTCTTGTTTAACTCGACTTTTCCTGTGTCGGACAAAGACATTGCCAACTCATAGTCCATGTGATTAGATAGTCATGCTACACACTGATATAAAGTTGAGCTTTACTGCAATAGTCTGAATTCCCAAGTGTGTTAATTATTGCACTGTCCTCCACTCCCAAAATTACAATTCACACCTCTCTAAATATTTATTAATCTATATCCTTGTAAAGCATTAAAAGTTAACCAGTTTGTAAAATTTAGGGCAAATAGATTACTGTAAACTCTATTTCCACCGAGGCTGATACGTTTCTGGGTTGGTTTACAAGAGGGTCTAGAGTAGCATCTCAGTACCTTAGGGGACGGATCTGAAGAAGACGAGAAGTCATGTCCTTCCTGCTTGAGCTTGTTGTATAAATGAGGTATGAGGCTCAGTTGAGCGTCCGTCTTGAACTCTCCCTCCGCCCACTTCTTGAGCAACTGGCGAAGTTTATCAGCCACCTCCTTAGTCTGACTCTTGGTCAGCAACTTGCGAAGCTCAGTCTCAAAATCTCTCGACGACACCTCCAAGTGAAAAACCTTGCCACAATTGTTCACACAAGCATCCAGCAGCTGCAAAAAAAAACTCATCTGTAAATTAATATACCCAAGGAGCAGCAAACCTGCTGACTAAGCTCAGGAACACTCCTTCAGATGCATTCCCCCAATAGACCACACGGGCTTAACATCCTGTATCCTGTGAGAGTCCAAAAAACCAAGACAAGATAGGGCAAAAGCCATCATCAAACTAACAGGACAAGACGTCAGGAAATAACCGGGAAATTTTGTCGCAATCAGAAATAGTCATAGTTTTGATGTCATCCTGAAAGACATTTATAGTTTTGCTGCTACGGTATCAAGGGGATAATCAATGTCAGTGTCATTACTGTATTATCTATCGCCATAATTAAGGCAGCATTTTAAACTTGTGTAGGAAGCCGGGTAAAAAACAAACCCCAAGGGAAAACTTATAGTCTATTTAAAAATTTTTTCAAACACAGGATGGACAAAAACCTGAGGTTCACTAGTTCAAATCTCACACATAGGTCTATCTCATTACATAAATAATTTTTAAGCTCTTGTCAATACATACCTTTTGATGAAATCAGAATTTGATCCAAGTTTAAAAATGGCTGAGCTCTTTATCTTTAAAGATTTGGGACTATTTTGAATGGCTACCCAGTATTTTTCTTGAAAATGCAGATATCTCTACTCTGATTTTCCTCATGAAGTTCTAAACTAAGCTAATATGCAATATTACCACAGTATCACAAAAAACAAACACAAAGAAAATCATTTTTAGAAGTAGTTACCGGTACATCGTTAAACTCAAAAATTTCAAATATAGTAGACTAGCAATTATGTCAAAGGTATTACAATTCCAAGCAACTTTAAAATTTAAACTTAACTGTATCTTTACAGTAAGTAGACCCAATCATATAATTTAAGCCCAATGAGTAGTATTGTATACATATTTCTATATCTGCTTATACAGATGGCTCTTTCATATGAATAGTCATTCATGAAAGTTAGAAAACCCTTTACTGATAAGATATCAGTGTTGTTTGTGTGACTCATGTAGCCTACAGAGTTGGTTGAAAAGTCTTGTTTTAGAAAAAGATTGAATACTGAATAGATTCCTCGGAATTAATTATTCATATAAAAAACTCAAAATAAAAAGACTCCATAATCATAACTTACCGTAATTGCTTGCATTACTATGTGTGGATCTGGGTTATTTAATCTTTTGACAATCGACCGAAGACAATCTTTAGCATTTTGTGACGAGTTGCCAATCTTATCACAAATTTCCATTATAACACTCCATTCTTCTGTAGTATTTTTCTCGTCTGTAGCCTTCTCTGAAAAGTAAAACACTCAAATTTAATTTGAACTGATTTCTTCATCTCTTTCAAACCTATAGGTAGGCCTATAGATAAGTAGAATTTGATCATGCTAGAGATATCCTATTTTTGTGTGTCACTTTTGACTTACTTTGTGATGAAACTTTTGATTATTTTGTGATGCAACTAGCCTAACTTTTGTTGTTGAAATCTCTCCAAAAACAATGGTGTAGGTAATTTACTAATTGCGGTGTGCCGCCGCAGTCCCGAGCCCGTTCAGCCGTGCACACGGTGATAGTTTTATTAAATGTTTTCGTCTTCGTCAGCGTCGTGTTTTTGTGTTTTATGTTTACGTGGTCAGACTATGTTCTTCAATGTAGAAGATTTGACCAAAAGATTTGCTGCACTAACAATGCAACTAAGTATGGAATAACCTAGTGCAACAGCGGAGCAGAAGGAAGATGACCTAAAGGTTGAAACGGGCGTCCTCCATAAATATTACTGGATTGATTGACGTAAGTTGTAATTATTAATTGAAACATCAATCCGTTTGCTACAAATCAATCATTTACGAATTAGTTATTTGAAAACTGAAACTGTTCTTTATTGAATGGTGAAATGAATATTTTTTGGTATATATGAGTAAATTTTTTTGCCTTATTTATTCACACAGGGGTATGAAATGGGTTATTTATTCATCCATTCTCTGGTGAATTATCTATTCATGCTCAGCACAACAGTAACTTTAATGCATTGGGCAGATAACTTAGGTATTATTGATTACTTATGTACCGGTAGGTAGTTTAAATTATGACGACTTTATTAATTTGTACAAACAGCCTTGATACCTTTTAGGCAAAAAAATATTATGAGTAACAAATATTTAACTTATCTTACCGAGTGGTCATAATTTAGACACATCCAAAGATTAATAAGATACGGTAACTTAACCAAGCAACTTAGAAAAATGGGAATTGTCTCCTTAATTAAATAGGCCTAGCGAATAACAAACCTTAAGAAAACCTGAATTATTTATTTAAAATAGGTAATTTTAAACAAATAAAAAATAAATAAATATAGGCTATTAAATAAATTACAAAATTGGCAACAGGGATGTAATTTTCTTACAGTACGTGTAAGTTCTTTAATATGCAAAAAATATGTTTATCTGTTTAAATTCATGCATGGGTAAATCCACCGAAACATGGCACTGGGTAGGAACGCCAAATGCCACAATACCAAAACCATCTATCTGATCAGGCGCGCGAACTGGTGGTTTACCCATTCATTCCATAATTGGGTAACTTATTTTTGTCTCCGGAAGCAGCACAGATGCTCCCCAACCCACTACACTAAAAACCATCGGATGAATTATCCATCTGAAGACTATTGGATGAAAGAAAACTATCGGATGAAAGCAAAACCATCAGATGGTTGAAATCAGTTGTTTATCCCATCACTAGTTTATAAGGGAACGCAATAAGTTATACCTAAGGAGAATACTTTGATTAAACTTATGCCTTTATTAAAAAATGTTCTCTAAAGAAAATACAGTGATGCCACACAATCTCAAAAATAACCCTTAAGTTAGGCTATATTAATAACTACACAGAGGATACGCGTCCGGTAACTGGTCGTGGATTAGGCGCCTGGCAGTTACTGTCATAACATAACCTAACAACCAAACTTGCTGATGATGAAAAAATCAAATGAAGGTTAAATTCTGTTCATAACATAAAATTATAAGGGCCAAAAATTCTAACAAAAGATGTACAGTTAAGAATAAATTGCATTCAAAGCAAAATCTTTGACAAAAAATTTAAGTTGCCGGTGGGATTCGTGCCAGGGACATCTTGAACATCAGCTGAGAACCCTGTCCACTACACCACGAACACCGATGGCAGTAGGCCTACATTGTATCGTTGTGGTAGTGGTGTTTCGGGCCCCCACAACCTGGTGACATCACAGCTGGGCACCTAATCCACGTCCAGTTACCGGACGCGTTCCTCTATGTAATAACTAAGATAACTTAGTTTGAAAAAAAATAACTTGAAAAGGTCCTAAGTAGGCCTAACTTATTCGATTTGCAGAATAGGCTACTCCTACGAAATTATTTATGACAAGTTAAAAGCATATGCATATGCAAAATAAAATTTTCCCTGGAGGTAATTCTTTGAAGTTTAAAGAAAGGTGAGATTTCACGATGTCTTAAAAATGTCCAGGTGACTAACTTACTTAAACAAACTATGACATTGCATAATCACAAGACAGCTAAACTTAACAACCCCTGTAAGTTGCCTAGGCTAGGTTGAGAAGAGTATGAAAAAAAAATGCAGCAGGTTTATTAACAAAGTAACTTTAAAGCAGCAACAATATTCCTGTAAAATATATATTACATTAAAATGACCATCAGTAGGCTAAGTTCATAGAAAGAAAAAACTGTTTTATCACTTACCTACGTCTGCATCGAAGGGCGATGTTGTTGAAAACAAACCCATGTTTGAGTGCACAATATTGGTTGATATTTTATGTACACATTTAATTTTTCAGAAGAAACAAACTGTTTCACAGCATTAACCATAAATTTTATGTTGACAAAATCTACAATGAAGCCATTTACACTAAAAAATTAGCACAGAGATTCAGAGATTGACAATGACAACCAGGACCATAACCAGTTGAAGGAAAGCTATTCTTTCTCTCTCTTTCTTAAATGCAGCTGTCAAATTAGATTTAGCCGTCGCCTACGTAATTGTATATCCGCATTCGTTTCTAGTAAGCCACAGTAATACAGCACTATAACAAAAATAGTAGTTTATATTTACTCTAACTTATAATTCAGTTTTTTTAGATTATGTTACCATTGAATTCCAAGTATGTGTCCCAAAATAAAATTGTAAAGCTTTTCTGTTGATGTATTTATAAATTATGCCACGGCCGCGGCCTGGTAGAATTGGCAACGTCGAAAGTGGTGTTGTTTAGTGACATACGTCCCATAAGATAACATGGCAGACAGGTGACATCAGCTCATTAATTCGCACTTTATTGATTTAAATTTATGAACATAAATCTATTAAAATATTGAACATAAAACATACAGAATTGAAAACCGAAACAATATGAATTAAAAATCTATATCTGCACATTTTAAGCGGAGTCAATGTGGCGTCGTCCTGTAATCCAGGTACTAGGAGGTCACGAATTGTGGATATTTATAGGGATGCACTGTGGATGCGATGCTCCCTGCTGTGGATTAACGTCCGCACTAGTGAGTACTACGACTATCCGCAGTACTATCCTGATAATTAGACCAATTCGTAAATTACAAGGAAAAATGTGGTTCGGATTCCACTATAAACTACTGTAGGTCCCTTAGTTGCCATTAGCTGTATGGGCTATTAATTAACAGCTGTTTCTAAGGAACATGTCGGCCTTAGTCACTAACAAGACTACAAGATCGCGCCACTCATCCTACACTCATATTTGGGTTAAAATACGCACATAGTGGCGTCCCCATCTTAAATAATTGATAATTGGTAATTGTCATGGTCCAGTAACCAATCTTTCGTAAATACAGAAATACCATTAATTAGCTGCTTCCAAACAAAACAGCTGTTACAACACCACTTGTCACTTCGAAGGCCGCGGCCTGGAATTAAAGCACAGAAAACATACTATGGTCCGGACACCCCTAAGGTGCTTTTTATACCATTATAGCATGGAATGGATAAAACATTATAGGTATAATTAAAGCCATTGGATTTTTTGGTCTAAGCGGTCCAAACCTTTTTGGAACACTTCAATGTGGTTGTGACCGCCAAAAAAATCTACATAAACCTGAAAGGGCACCATTGTTAACTGTATTACTACCGGTATAGACAGTATATATTGCATGTTTATTAATTGTCTGTATTATATTGCGTGTTTTTATTGCCTGTTATTGCTTTCCGTATGTATAGATTGTATTTATAGCCTGTTATTCATTGCCTTTGATTGTTTTTTTTGTCTGCATTACCGGTTATTATTGTCTGTTAGTTTTCCTTGAATAGCATGCTTACTTAAAGTTTTTTCAAGTTTAATTTTGTTGTATTAGGTATTTAAGTGCATCAGGAATGTAAATGCATTGTAAAAGCTTATGCTTAACTACTATTGTATAAATGGTGTTACGTGTATAAATAAATAAACCAAGATTTATGTAGATTTTTTCTCTTTGATACGTTTACGATGTGCGTATTTTAACCCAAATATAATTGAAGGGTGAATGGCGCAAGCTTGTAGTCTAAGAGACTTAAGCCATCAATTAAAATACTGATTTTGGTAATTTGAGACTCCAGTGAGGAAAGCTATTTGTTATATTCTATACAGTACGAGTACAGTGGGTAATATTTTTGACTTCTATAAATTAAAATTATGATTTTTTTCTTATTTAAGACTCCAGTGAACAAAGCTGTTTGTTCCCCCCTTCACAAATTAAAGGAATGTAAAATCTCTTTAGGTACTTTCTCACTTGAGATATGATTTCAGATCCTGAAACGTGTAACCTTATTTTTACAGAAAATATCCAAAGTTCCTCAAATAACTTATGCATTGTATACCTCCAAATTAAAAATACCCCCGCCGCAGCAAACCTGCAGACTAAGCGAATTTCCATTTGATTTACACTGAAATGTCTACTTAAAAATATAACTTTTATTCCCGATTTAAATAGAATTAGTTTAACAAGTACTTAGGTTTGCTGCATCAGGGAGGTAAAACTGTTTTTTTATGTTAATAGTTAGTAAGAAATAAAAACATTTTTCAAATTTGATCAAAATATGTTCATAAACAAGCAAACTACAACAGTTTACTTATTCTCCATAAGAATAACATGAGAATTTTAAATTTACAATTTTTTGGAATTTTCTCCGTAACCATTAGGCGCATAATAACGCTTCAATATACTAAATTATTTGTTTTTTTAAGCTCTACAAAATGGTTTGGAAATAAATTGCTAAATTTTATGTTTTTTGGGTCAAAAATGCGAAAAACCTATTTTTACCCCATAAAACCCCCCGTAAACCCCCGTTCCCATGGTCCAATCACGCTGGATTGCGAACTCGTTCGAATAAACGTAGGTTTACACGTTTGTACCGAATTTCATCAAAATCGGATCATTTTTGCTCGAGTTATCGTGCTAACGGACACATATATATATATATATAAATATATAAATATATATATATATATGAATTTGAACGGATGGTGTTTTTGGTCTCTAGGGACCTCGAAACGAAAAAAAAAAATCGGTCCTGCGTCCAGGTCTTACCATGAGTACGAGTACTACGGTAATAGCTTATTCCCTATATGGGAAATTCGCTAAAAAAATATAAAACATAAGACACAAAGACTTACCACCGAAATTAACTTCAAAGAGCTTTCTAACTGATGAAGGTGTGCAAGGATGAAAATATACTGTTAAGTTGTTAAAATAATACTTTAATGATATAAACATTGTGTAATGTGTTCACAACCCCATGAGTAATGCAGGTGCAGCAGGGGTGGGAGACTGTGTAGGCGCACAAGCCTGTCTTACACTCATCTCCCAGGTGTCTAGTAGTTGAGACACGGAGAAGCGGCCGGGTAACTTGCGAACCCTGGACTCCAGAGCGGCCTGCAACAGTTCATCTGGTTATTTTCCTTGTTGAAAATGAGGTTTACATCTATGAATGTCTAAGATCTGTCAGCAGCTTCTTAATTGTTAGAAACTGCATTCCAACAGCATTTGAATAAAGGCATTTATCTAAGTACGTGATGATCCCAGATTTGTATGCATTTCAGTTTAATTTAGATATTGATGTATTCTAATGACATATAATGACTTTGGCTGTACACACTACTTGATGTATATGGTTATGTTCTGAATTTTTAAAGGCAATAAATATAAAGCCCAATCGAGACTGACCTGTGGTAAAGTGGCGTTGGGAGACAACAACTCTAATGGCATTGGAATAATAACACCAAAATGGAATAATGCTGGACAAGAAATTAAAAAAAACTTATGCATTGTATACCTCCAAATTTAAAAAAAAAATTATAAAACATTAGATACAAAGAAATATTTAAAGCAAAATTAAAAGAATCTTATAACATAGTTTGTTTAACAATGATACCTGCACAGCTGAGAGGAACTTGGTGGCGCTGTACTCGTGGGGGGCGAGGTGACAGAGGGGGGGCGAGTGGGGGTAATCCTCAGGTACAGAGAGACTCACAGGAGGCACACAGGGGAGGTGACGGTCGTCTAGCACACACAACAGCTGTACACAGCGAGAACCTGTCTGTTGTGTCGGGTCTAGACTGACCTGTGGATCAATGTACTTTAGGTAAAAACTAGTTATGGGCCGATTCCAGAGTTGGTCGATTCCAATACCAATTCTAGAACTTTGGTTTTGATTCTCGATTCCGCACTCGATACAGATACCTGTTATAAATTCCTTTAATAACACAAATATGCATGCTTCTTGCTAATAAATGGAGGAGCATGTAGTTTTTATTTAATCTATATAAAATAAGATAACTGCTGCATTGCTATTGATTAAGGTTACATAGATTAGGTCTTTCAGGGTGGACGCAAAACCCTTGGAAAAATTTCATCCATTTCTCCTGGTTTTCCCTGCAACAAAGGTGTAAACCCGAATTAGTATTACTGGTCGCAAAGTACCCCTTTTTACTAGGGGTATGCGAGTACCTGATATTTTTGGGTCATGGCGGGCCAACAGTTTGCCCGATGGGTCTGTTTAGGCCAAAACTCATTATTGGGCAAAGCTCAGGGCAAGTCGAGCCAAACTGAAGTATTTTTCTGTGATCTTGGTAAGCGTTTGTGAAGATGCACAATCCAAAATGTTGCAATGGTAGAGGTTGCACACGGTTTTTGGCTTGATCCAAGGAGATGATGATGTCACTATTACAGCAGAAAATGTTTTGCCCTTATCACAGATGAAGTTCACGATTTTGCCATGACGACAGAAGATGTTCTCAATTTTTTCGTGACCATGTAAGGTGTTTACAATTTTGCCAAAATTGTGGAATATGTTCAAAATTTGGCCGTAAGCTTGAAAGTTGTTAGCGATTTTGATGTGAACGCAAATGATGTTCTTGATTTTGCAGTGATTTCACAACTTAACCAAGACTGTGGAAAATGTTCTGGATTTTATCAGGACTGGGTTTCTGATTAAACACACGACAGTGTTTGGATTTTGCCGTATCTGCAGATAATGTTTAAGATGTTATAACATTCGGTTTTTTTCATGCGTTTTGTGAGTGCTTATATAAGCAAATACAGTATGTTTCTATGTCTTAAACCCTTCACCATTTGTCTTAAATTCATAATACATCAAACAAAATGGCACTAAAATCATGTTTTAGTGGACCAGTTATATTTCAAAATTCACGCATGGTCCGCGATTTCTCATGGGACACAACAAATTCACACAATTCTCGATTCCTCAGAAACCTTAGTCTTTTTGTCTTTGATTAAAATGTGGGGAGATTTAAGGAAAATTATTGACAACTAAATTAAGACTGTAAGTTGTGACAGCCTAGACAAATTTATAAACTTGTACAATAGTTTACCTAAAAAAACTAAAATGAGGGCAGTCAATAGCTTCCTATAAGCATACAATTTTAGGCTTATCGAGTAGAATTAGATA